TGCGGGGAACTCTGCAAAAAACGCATCTTCGCACGGGCAGCCCGTGCGTTGGCCAATTTTTTGATTATGGCGCTGATTATCTTAAGCGGTGTTTATAACCGTGAAATTTCAGGTATGCATGTTTTTTACGCTGTTCAGGCTTTGCGTTCAACAATCAGTTCAGTTGAGGAACAGGTTTTCAACGATTACCAGGTTCGCTTTGTTGTCATTTTCATGAGCGTAGAAAAATTAAATGATTAAATTGCTAAGTTTCGGATTCTGTGAATCAGATCTGCACTCAGTTTCTTAAAAGTTTGCCCCAGACATACCATTTTAAAGGTGCGTGGATGGATCTCAAAATTCAACGAAAAACACTCATACACTCAGGCATGGTATTTGGATCAAGTAGTGTACAAAGTAAAATCATTCCTGCGCGAGATGCAAGTCTGTGAGGAGAATATCAGGTGAGTGATTATATTATTTCAAATGTGTTCAGGCTTTTTCGCTCAGCAGCTTTATTGGTTGTGCTATGCGGCAACAGATAGAACATGGAGCGAAAAATGCTTGGCGTACGTCTTCGTAATAATGGTGCATTCCAGGATCGTAATAATGATATACTCCGTCAGACGAGTTGCATGCGATGTAGTGTCACTACGAGAGAAAGTATAATAAATCTGGTTTTTTGGCTTGATTTGTTCACAGCCATTAATTTTTGTTTAGCATTGAGGAGGACACTTACTCCAGTGGTTTGGCATGCGTACTGAGTGGGAGTGGCGGATACGAAGTGGAATGGTGTGTCCCAGGTTTAAAGGGTCTGGCGTAGTCGCGCCTAGCCTGTGCATGCATATCGTTGTTTAAGAGCAGTAAGCCAGACGTTTTGGTAATTTTGATGATATTAATAATGGGAGTTACAGGACCGAAATGCAGTCGGTTTTCTTCAATGATACAATCGCAGAATTTGTTTACGTATATGTAACACCGACACTGAAGCGTTTAGAAGAGCTGTCAAAAAGAATCGACGTACTATCGGAATTACGTGATTTCCCGAACCGGCCATTTGCCATCGAAGAGTTCTGAATGGACCATATTTCTCGACCATCGTTTTCTTTCATTCTGGAATGCGGGTACAACGTGTAACGAATTTGTCTTTGTGTAAATTAGCAAGAACTTGATCTATCTCGTCGACAGTACAGCTCGCTAAGCGGTTCTTTTATTTCGAAAAATATTTGGTATCCGATAAATATTAACTAATTTGTAACACGTTGCGCATTGCGTTGAGCTTTTTCTTTATTCTTCTGCATTCCCCAGTTGCTAGTAATTTCTTGCTCCGGTTGCAGTTTTCAAGCGTTTTTCTTTGCGAAAAAACGGTGTTGCACAACAGTTTTCTTGCGGTTATTCAATTTCACGGTTTTATTTTCTTCTGCTGTTTCTCACTGTAATTACTCTAATAACCTCATTTTGTGAGTCCATTGAGTGTTTCTCCGCTACTTAATATAGTAATAATGATGATAATTATTGTTACCATTATTATTATTGCTTTTTAAACGTCATTCTTTTCTTCCATTTCCTGTTCGCTGCTCACAAACATTTCAGTGGTTGGGA